TCAGCAACTCTGCAGATAGGTTGAAAAGTCGTTCCTTGATGTAGACTGTAAAATCATGATTGAATTAAATAAAACCCATAAAATCAAAGATGATGTCCTGGTGTCTGGGCTCTTTGGAACAGCATTCAATCAGTGGCATAAGCTGTTCACTTTGTGTTCAAAAGAAGAGACATCATGTTGGTTGATATGGAAGAATGGCCTATTTTCTGGAATTACTATTATAACTTCATGAAGATCGTCATATCGCTGCCTCATGCGCCGCCTGCATTCCATTTAAATGAGTTTCACCAACAAGTAGCATGGACAAATGGAACACAGCCTGATTATCGGTGGTTGGATTGGTGTTCCCGCAGACCAATCATCCAGTTATTAATAAGGACCACACAGAGTGGGCGGCTTCAAATCGTTTACATTTTTAGATAAAGGGAAACAGGTGTGTGCTAGTCCATTGCAAGCAGTGGTTCTCTACGTTAGTCTCTATAATCGTAGCCTGAGCTGTGACTTTTCTCCCACATTCATTGAGGTCCTCTTATTTTGGTGCCAGGAAATGACCAACCAGAGGCAAAACCAAACCAAGGGAAATTGCCTTCAACTTAACGCTGCATTGGGCGTGCAGGAAAACATAGAACGTTTCTTTAAGAAAAATGGTTTGTTTTAATGATGTTAAGGCTGAAGTGTTATATTGAATAGCATGCAATTGAACAGGTGTACCCAATAAAGTGGCTGGTGGGTGAATGTTGCCTCTAAGTTATAAGAAAGTTTAATACAAGTAATTTGCTTATCACTAATCCTTCTGGACCTTTGACCTTGAATGGAAATTAGATTTGGAGCTTTGAATATTGGCATGTGATGAATTATAATTATGTTCTTTAAATAATTATATGCTTATATTCAATAATTCTTTAATTCAGTAGTTTCGTTCTTTAATTTAATTTAGTAATTTATCTTTAATTCAATAATCAATTTCAATTCATGGGGGCTTTACTGGAATGAAAGTTTTAACTAAAACAATCAAAATACAACTTATATTTATAAATATTTGGAAAGTAAACAAAACTTTAAAATATCTTAAAGTGTGTCATTTACCATCCGTCATTCCGTGGGTTAGGCTTGCAGCAGTACACCAGTTTCACCGTCTATCATAGTATGGAAATCGATCACATGTACTGAAGGGAAAAACGTGATGTCTGTGTACCTTTCATCCCCGACTACCTGCTACACTCCACAACGGCCACCACATGCACATATGCAGTGGACAAATAGCAGAGAGAAGGAAGCTGATGTGCCATTACCAAACTCCATCCAGCAAAAAAGAAATTCAAATCAGCAGTGCAGGATCATTTTTGAATATCCCCAAAACAAACACCTTTGAGAACACCATCCATCCGTGACCAGTATGTGACCATTTATAACTTTAATCCCAAACAATAAAACGCGTGAGCATATAAATGTCAGTCATAAAATGCGCTACCAAAATAATTTTCCACATTGTGAAGGTAGAGGACAGTCTGGCTGCTGTCGCGCACCTATAGTAAGTTAGCAAGTATTTTGATAATTGTTTATAGCATTGCGATGGCATGGCTTACTATCAATACGTTTTACAAACTGGTCAATCGATTTAAAAGACAAAATAATCATCAGATTAATCCCTAATGAAAATAATCAGCAGTTGCACTTGGATACAAAACAGTTTGTATCTATTCTATAGAAGATGTACTTCTGAGTGGATATAGCAACACTTGTCTGTGACAGAGGTCCGTTTGTTTTAGACATAACCAACAAGACTAAAATAAAGGCATTCTGAGTCAAAACACCCATTTTAGTAAAGTACTAGCTGTAACCCCTTTTTGGCAAGGAGAGTACTGCAGTCTACTGGTTAGAGGCACTTTAACAAGTCCAGCGATACTGGATGACTGATCATCTTCAAAATGTAACCCACAAAAGTGAAATGAGTATAACCTAAGGCAGAAAAACACTTTCAGTTTAAAGATATTAGCTTTCATCACTTTTTGGCAAGGAGGAAAGTGCCTTTTTGTTTAGCAGGACTTAAACAGGTTGACATGGTTGTGGTATGTCATGGTTTATGATCTCATAACAACACAGGGTCACAGTCTTGTTTCAGAGGCCTACGGGGGTACCATATATGCTAGGCAGGTAGTGACATATTGCACTGACTTATGCAATCACTTATTTTGTATTTTATATTTGTTATAAATGTTGATGCATTGTTTTCACTGCTGGGAGAAATCATGTTACATTCAGTCCGAGTGAATATCAACACATGTAGGTGCGGATTTCTGAGTAGGCTACCTGTCATAGTTGTCTGCTGCCTTAGCAGGCTACATAACACCACACCGGCTCTCTTTACCCAGCATCTTCCTCGCCAATGTGTGGTCATTGGGGAACAAGATGGGCAAAATACGACTTTGCATCATCAACAGTAAGAGACTTATGGACTGCAATATTATGATTTTCACTGAAACCTGGCTAAACAGCAACATACCCGGGCAGATAGAACAGCAGATGACTCCAGTGGCAGTGGATTGTGCATTTGTCAAGTCAAGAAGTCAAGCATCTTTATTGTCATTATGCATAGCACAACACATTTTTTTCCAGCAGCTCTTGGCTGAAAAGACAGACACATTATTTACATAACACACAATTGTATAAGTCAATATAAAACAATGAGCAAATAAAAAGGGATGTATGGGACCTAATCAGGTCAGCAGCACGTTAGCAGAGTGTAGTAACATTATAAGGTGCAGCTCAGTGTTTAGGAAGAGGTGTGAGCATGGGTGTGTGTCTGCAGAGGTCCAGTGTTCTGTCCTTGTCTGTCCATATGGGGGAGGTTGTGTTTGACTAGGGGTTGGGGGGGTGATTGATTTCACAGCTCTGGGGAAGAAGCTGTGTCTCAGTCTGTTTGTTTTAGTCTTTATATTCCTGTACCTTTTCCTGGAGGGAAGAGGCACAAACAGACTGTTGCCTGGGTGGGTGGGGTCTGCAGCAATCCGTC